CTTCCAAGCTGATGCTACTGCCAAGAGTAATCCATGAGGGTCTTTAGCCAGTAAAAGGATGGAAGCTCAAATCTGATATCTGGGCACAGGGGATCTCAAGAGATCCACCCAGAGAGATGCTTGATGTTGGAACTATTTAAGTAATCTCTGTTAAAACATTTTCAAAGAGGTGCAGAAAGAAGCTACTGTTTGCAGTTAATGGTGTGGTTCTTTGCTTATTTTTTTTTTTCTTTTTTAAATAGTAAAACCAGGCACAATTAATAATTTTCTTTTGCTTTCTTTTGTTTAATTATTTTCTTTCACCAGGCATAGCAAGAAACACTCTAAGACCAAAGGAGTCAAGAGTTACATCCTTATCAGACACCTGAGAAGCAAGAAAGAGAAAAAGTAAAATATATTTGTCTTTCACACTGCATATTTAAAAAAAATATTTATTTTAAAAAGCTGCTTGGTGCTTAACAATGGAAGAATGTCCCAGACTACCTCAGGTAAGATTTTGCTATTATTTTCAGTAAAATGAATAGTTGGACAGAGGGTTATACTGCTTAAATAACTTAAAAAAAATTCAGTTCCCTGAAAATCTATTATGGATAAGGATCATACATCAGAATCTTTCACTGCAAGAAAAACATATTAATTGAGCTCCTGGTATAAGCACAAAGGTGAACACAGCTACATTAAATCAAGGAGTGCTCGCACTCCTAGGGATACGTGCAACATGCTAATTGCTTCCAAAATGAAAGGAGAAATCATTATGGTTGCCAATCCAGAGTCTGCTGGGCAGATTTCAATTAAATATGGGGTAAGCAAAGCTGTAGGTGAGATCTGCCGAGACATTAACTGGAAGGTAAAGCACAAGCACAGCTGTATCCCAATTAATGAGAACATGCACAAAAGAGTTTGAGAACTGAGCTGTTGTATAAGCTCTAAGCACTTCACCTCACACTGCTGGCAAGACTTCCAGTAGGAGATGAGCATCTATTTCTTTAACATCTATCTCATTAGTGGAAATGCAATTCGAAGGCTTCAGCTGTGGCAACCAGTGCACCTAACAAATCTGGTATTTTTCAGCTTCCTCTCTTTCTAGAACATTTGCCTCTGCCTGGCTATTATAGATATCCCATTTATTACCTACTGGGCACATTTCCTAAACAGTAAAAGACTAAAGAGAGATGCTTAGAACTGCCTAACTAACAATAACAACAAAAAGTACACTTATGGCAGTTTAACCAAATGGAAATCTTGCCATAAAAAATGTATTAGATAAATCCATCTTTTTTTCTATTCATGAACTTCCAAAAACCAGATCACTAAATTTCCATAGTATCCATTACAGAGAGTTATTTACAACTGTCTCCAGTGAGTGTTTCTTGGGCTACACGTCATTAAAGAATAAACTATTTATCACAAATATCCCAGATGTGCTATTTGGGTTTATATGATTAATTATATATAACCACATTATCCCCTCTGTTTCACAAATGCAGTAACTAAACAACATTACAAAACCCATAAATGTTGACATCTAAAACACAACTGACATTCCCTATTATCGTATTTCAGTCTTGAGACTCAACATTTTCCTTTCAATACCCATGCTCGTAAAAGCCTCCTGGGCACAAAAGGGTCTTAAATGGTAAAATGAGTTTACTTCTAGATGTCCTTCCAAGAGAAAAACATAATTGAAATTCTACTTTTGTAGTGACTTCCACTCATCTTAAAAGCCCTGTTCTGTTAGAAGCTAAATGACAGTATTTCTGCCTTTCCTACGATAACCCAACCAACAGGAGGTGGTTAAGTAAACAGGCAGGGAGGAGGACACGGGCTGTGTTAGTTACTGCACAGGGTACACCAGCAGTTGCGTTCACTTTTCTCCAAAAACAAAGCACCTTTCCCGGGAGGTTGGTCAGGCATTCCGGCAGACAAGCCGAGCCTCAGGGAACTCCCAGAACACACTTAACAAAGCTGCAACGCTCTGAGGCTGGTTGTGTGGCTGCCTTGCCAGGGCTCTGCTCAAGAAGGGCAAAACCTCTGGTCTCAGAACACCTCTCCCCGTGCCGAGACGAGGACACGGACACCGCGGGGAGCACGGCAGCCCGGGCAGGCCCCGCTCCCGGCGGCCTCAGGCACCCGAGCACCCCCAAACCAACCAACCCCGGCCCGGCCC